CGGGACCTCCAGGCTCAGATGCCATGGGGCTGAGGCCATCGATTTCCATGGCCATCTCGGGCCTTCCATGGGTATTCTCAAATTCTTCCGGACTCAAGATATCATCCACTGAAGCAAAGTCCTCAAATGCCTTATCAGCTTCTCGGAAATGGTGTTGTTCAATGGCCAATCTTTGCAACCTTTGCCTTAATTGCGTGGACATGCATGCATACACATGGTCGTTAAACGTGATCATGGTTCTTTAGCATGCATGCATGACTTAAAACCCCTTTCAAAATTCCATGCGTGAACCTGTGGACATGACATGACCAAAGAAAAGATTATAGCCATGCCCATAACAAGCACAGAAATGACATGTTTGTGCATGAACATGTGTGCACATGAATCTTCAGGTAAGACTCTCCAGTAACATGCACCTCTGCTCCAGGACCTCATCGATGTTGTCGGCCACGATGCAAAGGTCATCATCATCACCAGCTGCTTCCTGGCAGAGTATGGGGACCATTTTGAAGTTGTAGCTGGGTTGGAACAAGGAATCATATTATATATGTTATGAAACATAAAATGCTATATGTGAATCCATCCTCAAGACTCAAATCCTTTTTTGTAGGCAAACATGATCACTAGGCTTAGCATGAAATGTTTGAACCCACGCATGAACCAGCACTGGCCTCATGAGATGGCGACGCACCGTTTTCACCAACATCGTCTGAATCCTGCATGCTTGTCATGAAGACAGTGTTCATGACCATGATGAGTGATGTTGATGTTACCCAGTTACCCACAAAGGTCCATGGATGTAACCCAAGACCGCGGAAATTGCAGCCCACGACATCTGTCCTTCCCTTCCCCATCGATGGATTCCACATCCGAAGCATCAGGGATGAGTGGCCCGTCATCACTTTCAGCGTCGCCATCCTGGAACGCAGGCTGGGTTTTGGGATAGCTGCTGGCTAACTTTGACTTTATATCCTTGCATGCATGGTTTTTCAAGATATCATTCATGCAGTCAATATACAATATAGGCTCTGGCCGTCAAACATCACAAACCCATACCAAGCCTGAATCCAGTAGGGCGTGTGGCTTCCCCAATAGTAGTCAAGGATGCGGAAGAAGTGCAGCACTCTGTCATCCTTGGCTGCGGTGAATGCACAAGGTTTTACACACCACCATCCCGGCTCATGTGATTACATGTCATGATAGGTCCATGAGTGCATGACCATGCATGCATGTGGGAGTGGCAGCATGCCATAAACAAGTGGTTTGTATACCCATGCAATCATGCAATGCATCAATGTTGTCATTATGACTCATGCCATGTTGGCCAGATTGTTCTTTTCAAGAGCGGGCCAAGTCAAATCCAATGAACCTCTAAAACTATACTGTATCCTAGCAAGCCCGTAGCATCTCTCACTGGCCGTCGTTGCCACCATATGCATTTGCCACGTCCTTAGTAAAGATGCAAGGATTGAAACAGTGAAAGACATGTGTGCACGTGAATGCCCGAGTCTTGCATGCCACAACAACAAAGGGTCATGAGTCATGCATGAACATGAATGGGTAAAAATGGAGTGATGCACATAACAGCTGTGAATCTGAAGGCCACTGCATGCGGAACCGTACTTGACACCGACATGTCCGTGACCTGGTAATTAACATGCATGACTCTTATAAATTAAAGCCAAGCTTCCGAGTATCGGTTGATTGGCTTTACTGGCTTTGGAGGGGTAGCTGGCGTCCATGACGTTTGTGTCCAGTGATAGAAACCACCCTCACCAGGTTGCCAACTTTCATGGGTCACGCAGGGAGGAGGTTGGTAAAACATACTTTGCTGAGCCATGTGAGTGCCTTCGCTCCACTCTTCCCACCCCGGTTGCTGCCACGTGTGGCCGTAGTAGCCCTCACTCCACTCCTGGGCATTGCTACCGCTGGCACCCGCCTCTGTGTTGCCGCCACCCACCCCTTTGCCACTGTTACCCTCCACCTCATCATTCTCCTTACTTCCTGTGAGTGGTCCACTCTCCTTCCTACACCCTTCAATGTTCTCAGGTGTGACAGTATCCTTTCGAGAATCAAGTGCAGGCTCCTCTACAGGTACTTCTTCCATCTCATCTTCCTTACTTTCTGGTTTTTCACCCTCCTTTACTGAAGAAGCCGTGCCACCACTGCCTCCCCCGACAAACTTCTTCACACCTTCCCTTTCTTTTGCAGAGTCTGGCTCTATCTTGGCATGCTTCTGTGGGTCGGGTGACACATTATCATTCTTGCGCTTTGTATTGGCCGCTTCGTTTCCAGGCATTGCCTTGGCTGGCACCACTTTGGGGGCTTGGGCTGTAGGTTCCACTTTGGTAGGCATTTCGGGCAGGGGATTTTTGGGTGGAGGATTCGGGGGATTCTTGGCTGGAGGATTGCAGGCTGGAGGTGCATAGAAGCGGGGCGGAGGTGGGTGGACAGGTGGCATTGGAGCATGTGGCGGAGGGGGGGTGGCGCCCCTTGCTGCTCTGGCCTCGCAACCTGAACGTCACAACCGTCCACCACCCAAGCGCCAGAAGGGGCCATCTCGAGATTCACCTCAGGGCATGCCCCAGTCATGCATGGACATGTTGACGCACCAACTTGTGACACCAGTAACTAGATACTTGAGAACCCTGATAACCCTGCTGTCAATAGGATTTTTTTATTGAAGGTAACCACCAAATCTTATGAGACATGTCGTGTCCGATTGAAAATGATGAAATTGATACAGGCATGCATGTGAACACACACACACATATATATATATTTATATATATATATAGAGGCTTAATACAAAATAATAATGCTACCAAAGGCACCTCGCCCTGTATTTTCAGATTCACTCGATGGGGGAACGCCGCCACAACTCCACTGCTGTGCTGAGTACGTACCCATGGCACAGGTTTCAAAATTACGTTCAAATTTATCAGATGGGCCGCAGGCTGCAGGGCATAGTAAGGTTCTCAACATGACATGGCATGGCATGGCATGAATTAAAATGCTTCCCAAGTCATGACCCAACATCCATGAACGATAGCCACGTGGCATGTATGTAGGCCTATTTTTCTCGGCAGGAAAGCCATGAGACAAACATGTGCATGCATGTGTGCGGGCTCTGACACATCTCATTGTCACTGAAAGCATCTCTCCCCTGCAGGCAAGCTTCACGGAAGCTGAGCTCAGGGTTCATGCGCCGGATCCCCAGAGAGAAGAGTCTCTTCAATCCCCATGAATCAAGATATAGCTGGTCATCAGTGGCATCCACCTGGAGGGTCTCAAAAAAGAGTTCCACCTGCAAAAGGCGTGGCATGAAAATTGTTGGTTTGCATGTTTCTCATGACGAATATGCTTCCTGTTTGCATGCATGTTGCGCATGTGAGGTTTGTGATATGGAAATATGCATTGTGCGCCTGACTGCGGCATGTGCTCAAGGATAGGGTCTTCTTCGAATCCCCACATCTCTCACACCAATCCTCAGCCACTATCTCCAACACCATCCTGTTCATGCCGATACCCCTGAGGCATGCTACGCCCGTGGCTTCTTTGCTGGGCCAAAGGAGAAGTTTTCCTCGCTTCAGCACCCTCCTACGCAACTTGGCCACGTCCTCCCACTTTTCAGCCCATGACACGGATTCCATGTTGAAGGTAGCGCAGCTGCAAACAGAATTGTTGTTAAGATTTCATGCATGCATGTCATGTTAAGTCACTCCACATATGTTGAAACTATTTGAACTTGCCAGTGAGCATCCCTTTTTTTGTAGGCGTCGCTGCAAAACTTGACACTCGTGGCCATTGGAACAATCATGAACTATCATGCATGGCACCTGACATGAGTTCATGGCATGAAGGAGTCATGGCATAGTTGAAGGAGTGATGGCATGCTTGGAGGAGCCATGGCATGAAGAAATCATGGCAGGCTTGAAGGAGTCATGGCATGAAGGAGTCATGGCATGTTTTGGCGCGGTGGCTGCAAGTTTGAAGGAGTCATGACATGAAGGAGTCGTGGCACGTTTGGAATGGTGATTGCATGTTTGAAGGGGTCATGGCATCAAGAAACTGTAGCATGTGTGAAGGAGCCCTGGCATGAAGAAGGTATGGCATGCTTGAAGGAGTCATGGCATGATTGAAGGAATCATGGCATGCTGGAAGGAGGGTTACTCATCGATTTTTTCTGCTAAACTGCGAAGTCTTCATTCGTGGCCACTACTGGAAGAGGAATCTGCGTTGTTGAGATTGCACTTGTACTTGAGCAGCTGCATTGCGATGCCCTTCTTCTTGAAATTTTCGATGATCATGGCAAGGCTCTCATGTGTAAAGGGCTCCTGGTGCATGGTAACACATGGAATGTCCATGAATGATAACAAACTGGCTTTTGTTATGTGAGGGTGTTAAAGCACAACGAATTTGGTTTGGCGTGTGAGACCTGCAAACTGAGGTAATGATATGATCAATTTCTTGGCCCGCCTTATCATGATTGCGGAGCAGAGCCCACGCAGCTGCCCAAAAATCCTCCGATGTTTCCTCTAGTCCTGGTCATCCATGTGTCATCCATGTGTCATCCATGTGTCGATATGTCAACCCGTTCCTTGTGTCTACCCGTGTCATGACCGTGATATCATCTCATCTCCGCATGAAAAGACTATACACACATGCACGCATGTTACACATTCTGAGGAATCATGCGTCATCACCGTGGTGCATGTGTGCCCGTCCTACTTCTTTTATATCCTTCTCTCCCTCGGCCAAGACTTTTGCAATCGCTGTTTGAGCCATCCTGTGCGCAACAAATATTTAATCATGGCACATGTCACATGGCAAATGGTTGGGTTTCCAGACGTGACATGGCATGGCAAATGTCCCATGTTTAAATTCCCATATGCATGACATGTCATGTGTCAAAGCTCGCACGCACAGAGATGCGGGGGTGGCACCTTCCCGTCCATGTGCCAAACACGCTTCTTTGGACCAAACATGCTGCCCATGCAATGCAAACACCACTCTTGGAGATGCGTGACATGACATGGCATGTAAATGTCGCCAAAGTTGCAATTCACCCAAAAATGGTACTTTTTGCCTTTTTCCAAAAAAGGCGCCTTTTTTGGAAAAAGGCAAAAAAAAACGCCTTAGGGATTCCTAGGTATATATATATATTATAAACATATATATACACCCATGTTTTCCCATCAAGTGGCTGGTTGTATCCCTGGTGAAACATGATCATCGAGGCTTGGAACTGGTGGAGGCGGATAGCAAAGGTATCGCCAAGGCCTTCAAGCAGGGCGCCCCCGAGTTGCGAGGCGGGTGCGTGTGGTGACTTGGTCGGCTGTGGATGGTTGCGAAATCCTGCACTCGTTGGCAACCGTTAGGTAAGTACGAAACACTGTATATAATGGGATTGTAAGGGCATAAACCATAGAACTGGTGCAGGATTTCGCAACCATCCACAGTATTTCATGGTAAAAACGCAGATGCTTCCAGTGATTTTGCCTGGAGGCAATCACATGGACCATGTGACCCGGTATTTTCGATGGGAAATCTAGGGAAATAACTGGAAAATAACTGGAACACAATGGAAGACCACAACTTTCAAATATATGCATCTGGGAACGATGTGGATATATCTATAGATCTGGGAAAAATGCTAGAATTCTATTGGCCGACCATATATAGTCAGATTGAATTCAGGGAGAATATTATACATGCAAGTTTTTACATTGCCAGAGGGCAAAGATTTTGAGAAACATGCAACTGTTGTTTGGGGTGACGGCAAACATGCATTGATTCAATTGTTGAGGGAAACCAAACTATATTAACTATATAGCAAAAATCAATTTCGGGATGCAAGAATCCCAGATGATTTTTGGACATTCTGATTGGTTGAACAATTCATGTATCCATAGCTTCATTTCATTCATAGCGCTTCATTCATAGGTTTTTCCAGAGGATCCGTTTGGAATTTCCAGATTCATCTCATGGGAACCATTCCCAGGGACCCAGGGAGCCTTGCGCAGGATGGATCGAGCAAGATCCTGCACGACTGGACATGCTAGGTGTCGAGACGGCTGGCTAAGCTATTATTGGGTAATACAGAAACGGGTCTACATCCAGGATTGATGTCAAACCTTCCAGATATAGGTGGATTATAGTGGATAATTGGGACCCCAAAGCGAGTCCAAATGTGTCACGGGTGTAGGACCTAAATGTCACAAACGGGGAAGTTCGTGCGGGAAAGGGTCCCGCCTGAGTGTCCGAACTTTGGGCTGTATCAATGCCTTTGGCCTTGACCCCAATGATTCCGGTAAAACGCGGCCAAAACGGTGGTTTCCTATGGGTTGTGTCAAATTGTACATTACTCTCCTTTTGATTCCCATGATTCCCATGATTCATGATATAGATAATGTCCCTAAAGCTGGGATTTCGCATGGGATTTCCGCCATGGCTCCAGCGGCCCTTCTCTTTTTGCGGTCAGGTGCCTCCTTCTTAGCCTACGCAGAGGAACGTCTTTCGGAGAAGTTGCCCAAGTGGTCGCAGCTCCTACAGGAGAGGCCACAAAATCGTGTGGTTTTTCTGGGTGAGTCCAGGGACTGATCCTTTTTTTTTCTGATGAATCATCTTTAAACTGATCTTCAAAATCATCTTAAATCATAGTAAACTGATCTTCTGGTTGGTGGTTTCAAACATTTGGATTATTTTCCATTTCATATATGGGATAATCCTTCCCATTGACTTTCATATTTTTCAAGATGGTTGAAACCACCAACCAGTATAGATGTTCATCATCTTCCCACCTTTGAGGAGCTCCTGGAGGAGTCGGCTGCCGCCAGCCTGGATGAGGATGAGGAGCTACAAAAGGTGGCGGAGAAGGCGGTGACGCAGTTGGTGAAAAGTGCCCTCGGTGAAGAAATGGGGAGGTTTGGATGATTTGGATACCTATGGTTAGTTATATATATAATTATATATATATGGTTGGAAAACTATGGGGAAATGATGGGACACGAAATGTTGATATAGTTTAATGATGTTTGATCATATTGATATCAATATGACTATTGATTCATCATTTGATTTGGATGGGAAAATGTGTAACACTATGGGGGAAATCATTGGCAATAGATATAGTTACTTTTCTACGGTACATAGTTTTAATCTATAATATGATCATCCATCTATTATCATATGATTATCATTGATTATCAATCAACAATAAGATTCTATATCCATAGCTGTAAGGAACATGAGGACAGTTTATGGGAATTCCAGTACTATCATCATATAGGAAATTATAGGTGTTTTTTTAAATGATACTATGATTAATCTATAGATGATGGGAACATCCCAGTATTGATATAGTTTTATATATGACATGTTACATATTAAACATCATATATATTAAATATATTACTAATCATTAACACTATATAGTTTAACACTGTGTCGTGTATATGTATATATATATGTATATTTGCTTGTTTCTTGCTTACCTTTCTTGATTATCATACACGGTACTATTGATTCATAATTTGGTTTTGATGGATTACCAACTGATCATAGATTCGTCTATCTCCAAGTTTGAGACTATTGATGCATAAATTATAAATGGGATAAACCCACATTGGGGATTTTCAAACTGGGCTTAGTAACCTCTTGCTATGGCTGGATGTTTATCATTCATTTATTCATAGTACAATCTTGGTCCAACAAAATGGAACATAGATGGGTATTACTTTTGGTGCATAGTTAAGTGTGGCTAGATAACTATTTAACGTGATCATTGGTCCAATGGGGAGATGTGCTATATTCACATCATGTATCTTCATTTCATGTATATATATATATATGTTTCCATGTGTATATATATATATACACGTTTATTTTGTGCCATGTGTTGTTTCATAAATATTGATTGGCTGATTCAGTGATGGTAAAACTTGATATACTTTATCCTCCTTGGATCCTAACACATGGTGAGTATAGATTATTTTTAAACATTGAACCGTTGTTAAATATATATAATTAGATACTGATTGAATATTAGGATTCGTGAAATTTGGAGATGAATTGATTTTAAACTTATTTAATTTCTTTAATATATATATATATACATGTATATTGTCGTGTTTTGTTTATTATTTACTGATTCATTCGTGCATATTTAACGGGTGATTCAGTCGCGGTATAATTTGACTTGAAAAAAACAAACATGTGGAAATGGACTTAAAATTAACCATTGATTCTTGGTTAAATATGGTTAGATGATGATCAAATATAATCATTAGTCCAATGGGAAGATTTGTATGTATTACATTTGTTGATTTCATTTAGTACACATATAGTCATCTATTCTTTATTATTAAACATTTATAGATTAGTGAATATTTCACGGGTGGTTCAGTGGTTGTTTAATTTGACGTTGGGTCCAACAAGACGTGACGGAGATAAATGAGATGTTCACCATTGGTGCACGGTTGAATCTGGTTTGATAATGACATTGGTCTGATGGGGGGATGTGTATTTATTTTGTATACTTTATTTATATATATAATAATATATACATATACATATTTGTTTAAGAAAAATAACGTGTATTTATTCATATACTTAATGGGTGATTCACTGGTGGCACAATAGAATATGATTTATCCAATATATGGGGGATGTATATCATTTATTGTTTCAGATATGCACATGACTACACATGTACAACTGTTTCTTTTGGTATACAACCTATATATATATATATATATCCATAAAACTGGAATGAGAAGAAACAGATTGGGGGATGGCCTTCAATCCATTCTCATGGGGATTTATGATGTACATAGCCATTATGTTTTGAACTTTTGAAGGACGGGGGGATGGCCATAAACCCATATACCAATTTTGACAACGGCACATATGGGTAGATGTCTAGTGTTCATTTTTCTTAGGCAACGTCCATAGGTAGAACAGTTGAATACCTGGAATCTAAAACATCCTGCCAACAAACCCGTTTTATGTGTTTGGGGGTTGTTATTGCTATTTCTAAACATTTTAATGTAAAGGTAAAAATATGATCTATATCACAAGGAAATAATACGACTATATATATACATAGATAAAACCGTTTGTAGGAATGGATAGGTTTATGTGTATGTGTATATATATATATGTTTTATATGTACAAGATGATCCTTGAAGGGTAATCTCGAAGAATGCAAGTGTGGTACAATAGGAGATGCCGCTTCACTACTGACCTGTTGGATGATCTTTTGATCAACAACTTACCGCAGATACCAAAATCGATGCTACGAAAAATAGGACACCCCAACCCACTTCAAATAAAACTCCAAACTCTAAAACTCCATGGTTTTTTCTTGGTTTTCCCAAAGAAACACAGAAAACATCTGGGGTTTTTACACGTTCAAAAGCCGCGTCGCGATTTCGTGGACGTCCGTGGACTGTTGAGGTGGCCTGCTGCAAGCGAAGAAGAAGAGCTGTGAAGTGGGCGATCCAGTCTCCTGGAAGCGTTTTTTCATAGCCATATGCAACCCATGGTGCTGGTCGATGAATACCGACATTTTGCTGGGTGATGAATTGTTTGGGCAAATGTTGGTAAATATTCCTTAGAATGAACATGTGGGATATGTGTATATATCTATAATATGTATATATATATATATGTATATATATATATATGTATATATATATATATATATATATGTATATATATACATATGTATATGAATATGTATATGAATATGTATATGAATATGTATATGTATATGTATATGTATATATATATGTATACATGTTTACAGGAGGGGCCCCCCAGTTATAAGTTGGTTTATAAACGATTATAACCCCCATTAACTATAGTTATATATATATATCTACCAAAAACCGGCCCCATCCTGTATGGATTATATATACATGATATAATGGGTGTATATAATATTATGATATTCTTTATCCAGAAATATATATATATATATTCGGATATATCATGATATATGAATGGTTTACATACATATACATCTAAGATGATCTAATATGATGGTCTAAATAATGTCATAGGTGTACATCATAGGTGTATATTATTTACACATATATACACCTTTTTTTAATTATATGTAGCATTTATTTGTTTAAGTGTTGAATGTCATAGGTGTATATCATACACATGTATGTACGCATATGTTATATGTGTACACGTGTTTAATCTATGTATCGATAGATAGAGGGATTGGAGTGAATAAATGGGTGATAGATCGAGGGATCGACAGAAGTATTTCATGGCAAGTGTTTCTCTTCATCTGTTCCAAAAATTCACATCCACATGCCATCATTGCCATCATTATAGATGCAAATAAGGCAAACAATTTAACACATTCCATTATGTTTCATCAAAATCTTTATCATGTCCATTTCCAAAAAGTTGGGGATTTCCGCAGCCAATTGAGGTCCTGGCGTTTCTGCCTGAAGATCAAGTCGCTCAGCGGTGGTCTGTGGTTGGCTGGTGGCATATCCACCATGGTAATTCCATGTAATTCCACATGTTTATTGGTTAAATCAGTTAAATCAATGTGAAATCCATTAAAATATGTTTTTTTGGATACAAACAACACCTTAAGGATCGTTAAGTCGTATTGAATCTCAAATGTTCAGGACATTCATTTTAAATTATATAACAGTGGGAGGTATTTAATAGTTTGTTTTTTTTATACGGGACCTTCTTCTCTCTACTTGGTCCCCATCTGGCCCCTCAGGAATGGCACCCTGCCGTGGTGGAGGCTCTGGCCCCAGAGGGGCGGCTGAAGCTGATCTTCATCGAGTGACCCAGTTTTTTTGGTGGTGGCACGTGGGAGTATGGATTGAAACCAGTTGAAATCTATTCAAATGATATGACATCAAAATTACAGTACAATACCCTAGAGATTACATAAAGATTACAATTGCCTCCAGTGTCATCACACGTGGCTGGGAAATTTTGGAGCTATGGAGTTGTTTTCTTTGGCATAGTCTAATAATGGTTGATTGTTGGAGGGTATAACAAATACGAGATATACAACTTACAACACAGCATGATGTGTCACATCTTGCATGTTTGTGTTTTATGTGTGATTTACGAGTTATCATATGTTTACATTCATTTGTCATCCATGTGTCAAATGTGTTGGTGTAAACCAGTGTTATGTGTTTGTTATATTGACCGATAATTCAACCATTTTGTTTCAATTGTCGATATTGAACATGATATATGTTGTTTATAAAACATTATAGAACATGATGAACTATGGTTTATCCCCATTATCAACCGCTGAAGTAAGGAACTAAGCAAAAAAGAACGTACACATTTGGATTCAACCCAAAAACACGGGGAGAAAAACACCTATGTTGTTCCTTTTGTTTAATGGTAACGATGTCTGCTGAAAGTAATGTTTTTGATCCACTGGCATAGCGACGTCCCGACATGGAGTGGAAATCATCATGCGTAAATACACTGCTACCATACCACTCAGAAGGGTGGTTTTCCCATGAACAGAAAACCATGTTTGACTGCTAGAGTGTAAATTCTCAAATTTGATTATATACTGGAGTGTACAATGTACATTATCAAATTATAGTGTATCTTAGTTGAATATAGATTTAATCCGCCATTTTCTTGTAATTGTGTGTTTTCATGAACCTCCCTTTTTTCTCGGAGGTGTGAATAATTGGTTATATAAAACATAGTTATAGAGTTATAGGCGCCCCATGTCCTAACTTATGGATGTGGACTCACCATGGTGATAATCATAAAAACCAACCCAAATACTACTGGTATTGTATATCCCCATAAATTATGTCCCCATTGATCGATGATAATCTTCCCATTTACACCATGGTGATTGACCCCAACCGCACCATTGTTCTACCAGTACTTGGTGGTTCATCCCAAAAACTCTAGCCCATAGCCCATCCCATTTATAACCATGGTTCTAACCTATATACGTGGGATGACCATGACAGGTACGGCAAGCCTCAAGAGGTGCCCATGGACGAGGTGCGCGCCATGGAGGATGTTGCGGAGGAGGGCGAAGAAGGCGAAGGCGAATGTGAGATGTGCCGCTGGGCGATTGGCGATTTTTCAGATAGGATGGCCATGGGGACGTGAAATATAGAATATACCATTGTGAATCGGCTGAATATGGGATTTAAATATGAAATCTAATCTAACAACATACATATATATATATATATATATGTATATAGTCCAAGATATGTGTTTTGTTCAATGGGATATACTGGGGGATGGATTAAGCGAAGGCTATGGAAAACCATGTTTTTCTGGGAAATTATTTGCTTCCATGATTTCCATACTGTATCTATGGTGGGCTTTCTGGAGCGTATACCACATTTGGTGAGCATACATTCACCAACAGCTTTGGTGTCTGCCAGGGTAGCATGGCTTTGACCCACAGCAATAATAAAGTTTTGTTTGAAACTAGGCTACACCAACGTTGATGGTTTATTTATGTTTATTTTCATGTTCACCATTAACATAGCCATTTTGATGGTATACCGGTATACCTCATTTTCGATCAAGAATACCCGGATATGTCGATCATATGTCATAGTTCATCATATTTCCATGTATTTGCCCATTAAAGAATAAACAAAAATCCGGAGACTCACCAAATATGGAGATTCAACCAGCATCAACAACCATAAGGAAACATGGAGATTGGACTTACATTTCCCATTTTGGTTGCCTAAACAATGGTTAACCGTCCTTTTCCTTTGGTGAATCTTTCATAGCTATACAACTTGTGCTATGCAACCAGCAACAACTGCCTGCTATGTATCGAGATATTGCACAGTTGTCTTTTGCCCAGAACAAATCTCACAAGCAACGCACCTGTGATATAAGCGCTTGGGTGGAGAATCAGTTCCTTGTTCTCCCCCTGGCTGATTGGAGATACAGCCCTGAATTCCAACTGACAATATCACCCATGGTAGTATAGCTTGGTTTTCCTGGTGCACCTTAAATAGGCCACAACGTTTGGTATTTGTTGGAACTAAACATAACTAAACCATAGTAAATTATCATAAATTATCATTAAAAAAATCCATCCATATCCATCCCCAATGAGGAGCTTAGGAATATTGGGCCACATCCCCCTGTGGGTCCCAGGTCAGCGCGAGTTGAAGCTCACCTTCCATCATCTCATTCCCAAGGACGCGGCTAAAGCACAGCAGAGTCATTTCATGCCTCACGGCTTTGCACATAGTCTTACTATGTCTTACTCATGGGTGACATAGAGTAAATGTATATGTATTTCTATATTTTTTGTTTTCCAGCCCTTGAGATTATCATCTCGTGCCGAGCCTTGCAGTTCTGCTTGAATTCTACTTCAAACCGGTGGGGCAATTCGCTCCGGTTGAAAGTCAGGCAGAAAACTGCTGCCCTCCAGGTATGAAGTCTTGCATTGTTTTGGCATTCGGCAACTATGCAATAGCAACATGGTCATTTTAATACAAACCTCGACTGGATGTGTGTGGAATATCCTGTGTTGGCGGCATGGCGGCGTGGGGGATATGTTTGATACCCTCCTCTAATCAAACACGGCTTGCTGGAAAATCCTTCTTTTCTAGGGGATTCTCCTAAACCTCCATTTATAGAGGGGATTTCCCAGCCACTTTTGATTACCAGAGGTTGTCACCTTTTTTATCAGCATTGGGAGGATAGCCTCCTCGACACATGTTGGTATTTATATTTTGATCTACACTGCGAGGAAACACGATGTCAATGGAAAACATCCATTTGTATCTTTGTTTTAAATAAGGTATGTCTTCGATAATGTAAATAACATTAAGTAATATCAACATATATATATATATAACTATATTTACACCTACAAGTAATAACTATATATGTACACTTTTTTTAGTAAATAACTATATGGTTCTATATAATGCAAATAAGTATAATATATATATATATACATAGTGTAAATAACCATATATTTATCATGTGATCAGGATTTCCACCTGCCTATTGGGACCTCTATTTCAGGACAAACACCCCACCTACCTGGGCAAGCGCTTGCCCAATGGGATCGAAGGGGAACCTACGCGATACTTCTTGTGCCTTGCTTTCAAAGTCGTGGTGAAAAGGTGGTGAAAAGATGGTGGAGGGTTTTGCCATGGTATGTTTCCATGTTTTTATCCTTCAAGATGGAGGCATCACTTGTGGCAGGATGGGGAGCTGTTTTGACACAATCATGTGCACCACAGTTGGGCTCCTAACCTATTTGACATGTGACTTCTTGGGTAAAAGATCCATTGAACAACGTCATTTTTTTTTTGTTTTTGTTGGATCACCAAATCAAAAAAATATGTGATTGTTTTCTGCCATGTGCTCCCCTGGAATGATGGTAATAATGGTAATAACTCTCTGAAATAACCATCTTAACACCATCGATCCATCATAATACCTCAGCTATATAAAGGTCATCCGACTCGACGAGGAATAGCTATGGTCTGATGATTTGTCGTCAGTGCCACAACACGGTGCATAACATCGCCAGCAACGAGGTCTTGGCTGCCCAGTGCCTGGGCGAGACAGGGGCCGGTGCGGAGTATATATATATGGCAAGTTGAGGACGATAAGAATAACCATGACACTGTTAATAATAATAATCATAATAATTATTATTATACTTGGGTATAGTACTTGTACACATATATATATATATATATATACACATACATACATACATACATACATACATACATACATACATACATACATACATACATACATACATACATACATACATACATACATACATATATATATACATATATATACATATATATATGTACATACATACTTGAGTTTTGCATTTTGTTGCTTTGTTTTTTTTTCCATGCTGCACCCACCTTCCTATTTTGCCGAAATCCCCTCAACGGCATCAGTGTATATATATATACACTTTCACTATCAATCAATCGATCAATCACTGTTTGTCTATCTGTCTATTTGTCTATCTGTCTATCCGTCTATCTGTCTATCTGTCTATCTGTCTATCTCTCTATCTATCTATCTATCTTATCTTATCTAATCTAATCTAATCTAATCTAATCTAATCTAATCTATCTATCTATCTATCTATTGTCTATCTGTCTATCTGTCTATCTATCTATCTATCTATCTACCTACAGCGGAAATCCAGATTTTGCAGGTACAATGATTTGACCGTGCTTAACCCACTAATTAGAAATAAAGCCCATGGCCAGGGAACTGAAATGGAGTAACTGTAACTGTAGCATGGCAATGAGTCTGATATGTTCCCTTCCCTCAAAAATACGTTTTAAAAGAAAATAACACAAAACCGTAATAAACAAATGAAACAAATGTTTCTGCCTTACAGTACTGTAACCTTGTAGAAAAGGACCCTTCTGTTATAAGACCAAGTCCTTGTGCAACTGCGAGTCTTGAGGTCCTCCAGCACTATCTGCAGGTTACCATTGGGTGTTCCTGAAAATTGCTGATGAAAAACAAAGAAACATGAGGTTATCATGCGCTATGGAACCAACTTGATATATTTGGGTGTGTCTGAACATGGGGTCTATTCCCAACTTATGGGTACCACGTTTTTGGGCAAACACATGCAACCACATTTCTTGTGGGTACGGAATGTCTTTGGTAAGCTGGTGCCCCAGTTTGCTTGCTAAGTTGGTTTATTTGCCTATAGGTGCACTGTTGGGTTTATGATCATTGCAACTGTAGATGAGGTAACCTAAACCAAACTGGTAAAAAACAAAACATGAGTTTCACATCATTGATCATATATCCCATCAAAAGTCCCCATCCCCTCAACATGGTTGGTGATATATCTCATGTTTCTATGGTGGTTCGCCAAGAAACATCACTAGGAGGCCACCATCTGGTGTTAGGCCCTGTTAGGCCCATTGAGGTACAACACCTTGCAGAAGCTGTTGGCCCACCCCGTGATTCAGCGCTGGGTCGACTTCGCCAAGAAGCGTCGCAGCAGCAGCGGCAAAGCGAAATGATTTTCACTGCGAAGCAGTTGTGAATCCGGATCATCCGGTTTCAGCGATGGGTGTGGCTGGAAATCAAAAAACAAACAACACTTTGCATGGCAATTTGTTTGAAAGAAAACAGGATGATAATCGACTGGACTTTGAGGTTTTCCCGGAATTTTCAGACAAACCCATGTCTTTACAGGTCAAAAGTGGCCCTTTTTTGGGGTTTGTTGTGGGTTGTCAGGTGACCGTTTCAGGGTTGTTTATAATATTGATTTTGAACTGCGGAGCAAAGGTTCACTTTGAATTGCCTGGTTGTCGGGTTCATCCATTGTACAGTGAATCCGATTCGCTAGCGACAAAAAGGCGACGGGTAGTGCCGCTGAGCGCTTTGCAGTTCCAGCATGTGATCATCATGTTTCCCTGGAAGTAGCCATAGGGTCGGGTATACAAAGCATGTTCAGGTAACGAGAACGGAAATTGGACATTATGCTTGCTGAGATTTGGGCCACAAGTTTGTAGATATGTGACGTGTCCATGTAAGGCAAAATCTTTCGGGCAAGTCCAGTTGCGATTTCTGGAAAGATTTATACTTGCTTTGAGATCGAAAATCCTCTTATAAGCAACCAGCACAGGATGGATTCCATCCATGGAAAAGATGCCACTTACGCAGGGTGTCACAAACCCAGGGAAGATCCTGATACTTGCCCACTTGGCACCCCAACTTATCTACAACTTATCTGGTACTCAGATGGCATCGCTCAGCCAGTGATGTGTTTGGTCCTTTTTCAGTGGAAGGTTTCGTGGGACCAGCAGCCAAGATGGGATGATTGCACGACCGACACTTTTCGTTTTAGCACAACCCCAAGCAATGAAAATTGAATACATCTAGAATCTAGACTTATTAGAGTAGGCTTCCAAATCAGTAAATTGATGTAGCATACTTTTATGCTGCAATGCTGAAGTACATAATGTACACATAATTGGAGGTTTCCTAAAATGGGGTCCCCCCAGTTCTCATCCATTTTCATAGGATTTCCCGTGAAATAAACCATCCATTTTGCGAACGCCAGGATTGCCAGGACGAGTTGGACGAGAAGGAGCACCAAATTTGCTGTGGATTGAATCATCCAATGTAGTTTTTTATGGGCTATATGACTAATGATGAACTAAACGTTGCTTAGTTAATGGGATGGCTAATGGCGAAAACAAGTTGGTGAGTTCAAAAAAAACTACAGTGTAGATGATCTGATGGTATTTTGGATGTTAATGGCATACATCGTGAGATGGTCATGAAGATCAATGGTTCCGAAAAGGATAATATGATTCTAGGCTCCAAACGTTGTTCTTGTTGATCTGAAACCACGGTAAAGGTTGATGATGCTGATGAATTATGTGGATGATATCGATGATACAAAGAATACTGATGATGTGGATATGATCTGAGATGATATAGTTTATGTATGTTGATGTGTTTAAATATTCAGCAGCATGATATGGATCAGATGTTAACGTAAAAGGTCATTTGGTAGAAGGAGCATATTGGGAAGTTGAACTGTTTATACACAACTGGTGTGTGGTTTCATGTTCAAATCTCGACCACAAAAATGGGATGGTATCTTTTTAAAATGGGCTGGCACACCAATCAGATAAAGAATAATGCCACAATAAACCATCCCCACTTAGACTCTGACCCTCAATTGTTCGGTGAAAATGGCAATAGTTTCATCGGCACTTAAATCTCGAATTTTCACCCACAAATTCCTGGCGGTTTGGTGATTGGAGAATTGGAACCAACATTCTGAAGAGGACAATGCCGCCAAAATGATGACCAACTCGAAAGCACGGGTAGAAGTACGCCGCTGATACAATCCCACACAGCAGACCTCAGGCGGTCTCAGAATATCTCAGAATGTTTCAGACTTTTGGAACGTCACACAACCTGGGGCCAGCGGAGAAGGCTCAGCACTTCAAAACGCCCTAAGCCTTGGCCGCAAAGGGATCCCCAACAGAGACCGAAACTAGTGATGTTAACTGAATTGTGACTATCGTAACCTTCGTAAAATCCAAAAAGGTAGAAACGACAAGATTTCAACGTTTTAGTTTCACCTTATTCCCCACCTGTCAGGGTGCACCAGTGTCGCCGACAGCTTGTGGTCCGCGCGATTGGTACGGGCACCTGTCAGAATATACTTATGTTTGCAAATAGCAGACAAGAACTGACAGAATACATATATATATATAATTAATACTATTATCAGAGAGGCTATCAGAATGAATGTCAGAGGAAGTGTCAGAGTGTGTCAGATTGTCAGAAGATTCGCCAATGAATTTGTCACAAAGGACGTCAGAGAATATGTCAGGATATATTTTAGAAGGTGTGTTAAAATAGATGTTAGGACAAGAATCAGAGAAATTGTCAGGGTACATGTCAGAACTTGCAACAACATATCTCACAAATGGTTATGATATAGGTTACAAAATAAGGCTGCATTTGTGTCAGAAAAAATATTGTCCGGGTCAAGATCACAATCACTCGTCATGTGTTGTTATATTTATTATTGGGTTGGCTGCATTGTGACATCAGTTGGGTTTTATCACATTGTGCCAGTAGCATGTGGGACACCATCCTCAAAGTGATGGTGATGGGAGAGTGCCGCGTTGTTGCATATTGTTCCCCCAAAAATGATATAATTACATCACTCACTGCCAATTTCCTATTGAATGGTGGAACCATTTTGATATGTTAGCAGCTATTTTTGTGACCATTTCACTTAATCCCAAAGGTGATACAAATACCTAAATGATTATAAATGCAGGTTTTGTTCGCTGGAAAAAAAAACATATGAATCGGGGATTTCCCATTTTGCATCATTTTGCCATGTTTGCTTACTGGATGTTAATCCCTTTGTTTTAGCTCTCTTTTGCCTGCCATGCGCCCCCCTTCTCTCCAGGACTCACGGTCCACAGGGGCCGCCCCGGCCCCGGGGCCCCCGGGGCCCCCGGGCCCCCCGGGGCCCCCGGGGCCTCCGGCCGCCAGCTGAACGCTGCCGTCCTGCAAAAGGGGGCAAGCTGCGGCCCGCTGGGAAGTTGTTCCATGTTGTTCCGGGCCATGGCTTTGTCTGAAAATGGGCTATACCCGGAAAACATGTTATTTTGAGAAAATGATGACGAACCACTGACTTTTTGGGGTAGCCTATTTTTTGACAGCCACATGTTCTGCTGGCCGGTGGTTTGAGGTATCGTCACCTCAAATCCTGGATTCACAGTAATTAATTGTAATACTCGGTTTTCAGATTGAGAGCTGGAAAACCATCTATAAATGGAGGTGTGAATGGAAAAATCATCTATAAATGGTAAATGGATCTTAATCCCTTCTTAAAATACTGTTCCATAGAATTGATATCGACCGATCCCAAGGATTAAACAAACTGATTTTGGCTTCTCAAAGACAGATCAGTTGGTGCTAGCAATCCCCAAGTATTGTCGTTGCGAAGTTTGCGCGTTGATGGCTGCTTGGATAGAAGTTTACCAAACTGAATTGCTGGTGTCACATATTGCTTCTTTGATCTTCTTCGCAGTAAGCCCGTTCAGAAGTTGCCTCACATCATTCAAGCACGACGCGAGTCCCTTCCACCGAACAGCTCAACGGTCTCCCAGTCATTCTTGCCAGATACTGCTTGCCCTCGATATGATTGCCACACAACGAAAGCATCTCCAGATATTCCATCTATTTTCCATCTACCTACTCTCTGCCAACAGAATCCTTAGCCTCCCAGTTCTACATTGCTTTACTGCATATATCTGCAAATTCACCCATCCCCATCCAGCTCCAGATATATCCACCAAGAGTTTGCCGAGGTATGATCCAACTGTATCCAACTGGCCTTTTCTACATCAACGAATTAATTCCACACATGTTGTTGGTTCAAGTATGTTCAAGTCCCCATGTTTGCTGCTTCAGTGATAAAATGCCACGGGGCCAGCCAGGGGCGGTTCCATCCGTTCCATCCCAAGTTTGGCATGGTGAAAAAGCCCCATTTCCAATGGATCCTGGTTGTTTCATAACACCCTCGTAGTTAAAATCCCCAACAAATTCTGCTGGATACGAATCACATAACGGTTTCCGAACGATATATAAAAAGCAACCTTCCCACATCAAATCACCAGTTTTTCCATAGATTCAATAGATGATCTGGTTGGTGGTTTGGAACATGGCTTTTATGACTTTCCATATATTGGGAATGTCATCATCCCAACTGACGAACTCATATTTTTCAGAGGGGTAGGTTGAAACCACCAACCAGATGATTATAGATGATAGCTTTTCCACATTTTCCTCATTCAATGACCATGTTGTTTCTTGTTTTTTTTGTTTTTTTTTTCGGCAGGAGCTGGGTGGCCATTCCATCTCCGCGCTGCGCGTTTGTCGCCGCCTGGTGCGCTGCAAGGGATGGTCACATTTGCCCGAACAAAATCACCCAGTGATGTTGGTAAATATATCATAGATTACCATAATATATAGCAGATAGCATATGGGGTTTATAAATATATATATATATATTATCATATTTTTATATCCATTTATGATATACATATAGGTGTTAGCAACACATTGAAATCCTTATTTCTACTTTATTGCCAAATAAAGTTTGCATTGGGATTGAAGCAGCAACAAAATTGAGATATGATCAACAAACGTCAGGGGATTGTGGGGGATAGATATATTCAACTCTGATTCCCATATGCTCCATGGTGCTGGTATATTTACCTAAATAACTGGGTGATTTTGTTCGGGCAAATGTTGGTAAATACCATGGAGCATTTGGGCATGGGAATTACATGGGAATTTATTCCTGCACCATGGAGCATTTGGGCATGGGAATTACATGGGAATTAAATGGGAGTTAATAGGCGTTTATTCAACTCTGATTGATGGTTACAAACAAGTTTGATTTTCCCCCTATCAGTGTGGTGATGATCACAATTCACGAGCCAATTGGTTGTTCTGACTTGGGACACACTTCTCTGGAAGATAGAAGGTCAACCGCTGAATAAACCCTGGAGGCACCCTACAATAAAGCACCGGGGTGCCTCAGCAGTTGACAGAAAACGATATGCTATTCAGGAAAACAACAACAGTGATGGATAAAAGGCCCCGCCTTCCAGTCGCTTGTATGGTTTCTGATATCATTTTGAGATGTGTCATAAATCCGAAACGCTGTAGCTACTGTACATGTGTGTGTGTGTCACCCGCTCGAGGTCAGTTGGCAAAAAAATATCGGCAGGACTCAGCAATGTTTCACAATCACCATCATTCTTGTTTTTTTAATGATTTTTTTCTCAGGATAAGCCTCCGATAACCCCTATGAAACCATTCCAAGCATGATCCAATCCCAAGTTAGGTAACCCATAGTAACCCAATAAATCAATACCCCGTCCTCCGAATTCCTTTGCCAGACATACAGCGTTCCCATGTCAGGTTCAGCTTGGTAGTGGAGGTGTGCTGGGGATGGTCATCAATAGCGTAATTACCCATTATAAGGATTCCCAATATAGGATGGATGACGATAAACCATATGTATATAATTATAATATATATATATATATTATACATATATTATATTTATATAATATATATATATACACATGCCATACCATGTTTTGACCATGTCACAAGTATCGTACTTCCAGCTATCCCAAAAAGTAATCATGTTGACAGGACAGAAAAAGGAAGCCTGTGAGAGGGTAAACAAGCTCTGGTGATGAATGGTGTATGGATTAGTTTGAAAGCTACAGCATGCTATCCTTGAGCTAATTTCAATATCAAATAGCTTGGATTTTCATCAGAACAAAGATGATCAAAGATGGTAAACGACCAGTGTTTTGGTTTCTTCAGTTTTTTCCTGCACCCACATGATTTATCTATGTCTATTTGGCATTAAGCCAACTCAACTCGTTAAAACACACAGTTTAATGGTGAACACATAGTTTAATGGTAAACTAAACTATTGAAATCAGGCGAAATCGGTCCCCTTCGAGTCTGTAGATTCGCGGGTTTTCCTTGCGAGGCTTTCGCATTTTGCCCTTTGCCTGTACACTTCAGAGATTGATAATTCATGACCCTCCTTACTGTATCCACAACAAGTTCTAGGTTGTTGGAGTTATCAACGAGCAGAAACCGATCCTGCGGCCCCACCAGGACATGGGAACGAAGAAGATGCTCTAGGCAGCGCTACGTGGAAGTGGATGGCTGGGGTGAGACGGGAAATTTGGGAAGGATTGGAACCCAATCAACTTGCTGGTGCTCAATAGGGGACGAGGGAATGGGATAATTGTTGGTAGTTATGGGTTATGGATTGGATCATTCCCCCATTAATTCCCTACTAAGATCTACTAAGATCTACTAAGCAGCAGTAAGACAATGCAACTTGTTTGGTTTTCAGTTGCATGCTGGTTGGTGGTTTGGAACATGAATGGATTATTTTCCATTTCATATATAGGATGTCATCCTTCCCATTGACGAACTCCATCATTTTTCAAGATGGGTAAGTCACCACCAACCATGAAATGGTTTCGCATGGGGCGCGACTCAGCTGGATTGGTGCAGTGGAAAACTAGCGAAGAAAAATACCTGGATTGGAGTCCTGGGTCGACACCAGCCTTTAGTCATGAACTATGATAACTATGGCAATGGAACAATCCACCATTCATAGTTGTTGACTGTTCTATTTAAACATGAATAACATTGATTTTCCTATTGATTGTCCTATTCAAACATGAATAGCATTGATTTTCCTATTGTTGTTCCTATTGATTGCCCTATTCAAACATGAATAGCATTGATTTTCCTATTGTGTTTTTCCTATTAATTGTCCTATTCAAACATGAATAGCATTGATTTTCCTATTGTTTTTCCTATTATACAATTGTCCTATTCAATCATGAATAACATCGACTTTCCTATTGTGTTTTTCCTATTGATTGTCCTATTCACACATGAATAACATTGATTTTCCTATTCTTTATCCTATTGATTGCCCTATTCAAACATAACAAATATTGATTTTCCTATTGTTTTTCATATTATATAATTGTGCTATTCAATCATGAATAACATCGACTTTCCTATTGTGTTTTTCCTATTGATTGTCCTATTCACACATGAATAACATTGATTTTCCTATTCGTTTTCCTATTGATTGCCCTATTCAAACGTGAAACATATTGATTGTCCTATTGTTTTTCCTATTGATTGTCCTATTCAAACATCAATTTCAGTAGGGGAATTGTAAAAAATGGCCATCTTTGATTACACTGAAGGGTGATCTCGTGGGATTGGGATTCCTTCAGGAGGCGATTTGGGAGAGCTCAGTCCTCAGCTGGATGGTTTATTTCATGGAAAATCCCATTTCAAATGGATGAGAACTAGGGGTACCCCTATTTAAGGAAACCTCCATATATATAATATTATATATATATGAATAATTCAGTACATAATATGAATATGTATATCGATAGATCTATAGCTATAGTCTCACATCTCATATTTCGTATCTAACAATCGAACAATCTAATAATCTATAATCTCCATCTCATATCGACTAATATCAAATATATATTTATATCTGTATGTATTGTGCATATATATATATATATGTATATATTTCAGATTCATGTGTATTTGCATGACTGCTTCTCGTGTGATTCAATAGCTGCCAAGGCTTTCGGGCACTTTTGCCCCACAGGAGCTCCTGACAAGGCAAAGATGAGGGGCTTTCGGGTAGAACTTGGGTGTTTCAACCCATAACAATTGGTAGAAACACTAGGAATGAAGCAGTAGAAATAGCCATTTTGACCGGGAAAATATGAGAAAGTCATGATGGACCCGTCGTAGATTTAGGGGTACCAACCATATCCAACCATGTTTAACTGAGAAGAATTGGTAGAATCGCCAAGAATCATCCGGTGACATCTTAAATGGCCCAGTTAGATTCATGGTTGGTATCCAGATCCCCTTTGTTAGATTGATGAATTACATTGGCCCAAATTCACCTCTCTAGTTGGGTAAATCCACATAGAAACAACAATAATCCTGTATACAGTGCAGGATGCACCCAATATTCGCCAAATATTGCGACTCACCTCCTTGGATAAAGATGTCTGACTGCAATCAGCAGATGCTGCTTTCGGAGGATTTGTGGAAGAACCAATTAAGAGTCAAGACGCATCACTAGGAAGGGCAGCACATCTAAAGTTCCTGGATTTGCGGAAATCCACCGGGGTTTCTATCCGGATCTGTTGAACTTCTCGGAGTTCCTGTGATCACTGTGGCAAGGCCCAAATTCCTTCACTATGTGCAGTTCCTCCAGGAAGCTTTAGGCGCTTTAGGCGGGCACATGCGGGCACTTTTAAGTGGATTTCGCTGCAACACATCGTGGATGTCATTGATAATGTCAACCCCGGATTAATAAACCATGGTTTATTAATTAGGGGGTACCCTCCAAATAGTCACAATATGGTACATAAATGGTACCCTCCCAATTAAACTGCCTAGGGGTTTATTAATCCAGGGTTGACATTACACAAATTCTATACTTTAGTTATCTTTAGTATAGTATATCAATGACTGTCGATATAGATGTTATAGCTAATGACTATGACTTTGACTATGACTCATTGATATAGTATTGAGTTATTGATAGCTATAACTATATAGTCATCCATCTATGGATCATGATCTAACGGTTGTTTCTTGATGGACATAGTATGCCAATAAGTTAGCTCTGTTTCTTGGCTGTCCTCTAGAATAGGGACCCTTCAATCCGCTCAACACAGTTTGCTTTGCGATTCAAAACCACTGTAGTGTGGGGTTCCTATGCATTTCCAATCTTGTGCCTGCAATGGTTCGGTCGAGCCTCGAAAAAGGTTCCACCAAATCCCAAAATGGCTAGACTGGTCTTCTCCTTGGCATTTAAGACAAGAAAAAGACACGTCATTTTGTTGGCCAATGAGATTTTTCGGGATATGTGATCTTAGGCCCAGAGAGACTCAATATGGACATGGCCATGCTTTGCCCATATCAATTCTCATTGCCTCCCAGGCCTCCTGAATCTGATCCCTGCGGAGCCAGGTGAAATGAGGCCTGATGCAAAGGAGGAGACAGGCCTCAGTGATGCATGGAAACCGGAAACGATTGATGACAAAATCTGCTTCCGGTCAGTTTATGGTTGTGTTTTGTTGTATCATTATTGCCCAGTTACTCAGTCGATAAAGCGTTGTATAGCGTTGTAAAGTACGTATGACAAGTGGTCACGATAAATGGGTATTTGATACCCTTAGTTCACTTGGCGTTATAGTATGTTGGTTTCTCACTGATGTCAATGATTGATGGAGTGGTTTTTCCGGGAACATCTACAGAAAACCATGGTTTTTACCATCCAATATGGGGGTTTCCTGTAATTTTTTGCTGAAACCAATCCATTGACTTTTGGATTCCAACGTGCCCATTTCTTTGAGGCATTGCCGAGGGCGACGCTGAGGATGCCGTGCAGTTGCTACATCGAGCTGCTGCGCGCTGCTGGCGAGCGTTCTGGTTATTCAACGTAGCGAAGTGGACAAAATCACAATTTTATAGTTAGGTAAATCATGATGCTTATTATCCAAATAAATGGGCCATGGCTTCCATAGCTATTGTGAATCACCAGATGGTATGGATTTGGGGAACCTTCATTTCAATAGTTTTTAATTTCTTACCATGATGGGGATATGCTGGGATATGTACGGATATATATATATATATATTATGTATATATATATACATATATATATATATATTATATATGTATATATATATACACTAATCAGCTAAGAAGACACATGCCTTTCATATTTGAGGTTGGCCGATTTTTTTTGAGGTCAACCTTTTGGTCCCAGTCACATGGACAGCAAAAAGAACATCTGGGTCCCCCATGCTTCAAAGTGTTTGCCCTCTGGTAAACTAACATAACTATGGAAAATCACCATTTTCAATGGGAAAATCCACTATAAATTGTGATTTTCAATAGCTATGTTAGTTTACCAGAGGGTAATGTGGGTAAAACAAAATTCCATAAACCATCCCCAAGTTCACCATGTTTGTGGTATAAATCATTCCCATATGGGTGGTGGCATCGTTTTACCCACATTACTCATTATTGTAATAACCATTAACTAGCCATTAACCACCGTTAACAACCATTAATATAACCATTAATATAACCATTAATAATAACCATGTGTTTACCATTACATAATGGTTGTTAATAATAATTTTATTGTGTTATTACTAAGGATTATTACCATTACGTGCCATACGCCAGGGCGGGTTCAACAACTCTGATCGATTTCATCATTGGTTCGCGCCTGAGAGCTGACAGTCTCGGGACTGCGGCTTATCGTCTTATGTTCTTAGATGTTTTACAGTTTCTGTGCGGATATATATATAAATGTATATGTTTATTTATGTATATACATAGACTATATATATAAACATGCATATATAATATACACTTATATATACATATATATTTATATAATATTATGTTTATATTATATTATTATATTATTTTATTTTATATTCTATTATATTTATATAATATTATATTTATATAATATAATATTTATTTAAGATTATATATATTATATTATATTCTATTATAATATATTATATTATATTATATTGTATTATATTATATTATATTATATGTTCATTTATATTATATTATATTATATTTATATAATATTATATGTTAATTTATATTATATTATATTATATTTTTATAATATTATATGTTAATTTATATTATATTATATTATAGTATATTATATTATATTATAGTATATGATATTGTATTATATTATAGTATATTATTATATATATATATATATGTATATTAAGTGTATATATAAGTGTATATTATATATAAATGTAATGTGTATGTATGTATATATATATATGTACAACCTAATATGGTCAATTTATTGGCAATAACCTTTTGCTATTTTAGTGACGAACACTTGACGAAACTTGACGGAGGTCGGGGCCTGGCGCCAGTGGATGGACATTGCAGCAACAAGCGTCTCAAGGCTGGGTGTTTTTTTTCACCTCGGGCCCGTTGGACCTGACCCCAAGGGTTTATCCATGTTTATCATTATTGGAACAAAGCCAAAATATGGTGGACAATCGGTTTATCAATGTTTATCATTTATCAATGTTTGACTTGTTACGGAACATACTAACAAAACCGCAGTTCAAATTGTGGATGTTTACTGTAGCCATTTTTGGACAAAGCCGTGTGGAAGTACCAAACTGAAGAGAGGGTCATGAAAGAATGACGTGATCCAGAAGAACCATCGTTTTTTGATGACAAGGCCCTGACATCTCTGTTCATCGCTGGAAGTGCCAGTAAGATGGCAGTGGGGGGCACCTCTCTAGTAAGAAAATGTGGTATGAACCCACAAACAATTCATAAATTTCATAGCAAACCAATGTGATTTAACTGATGGAATTGATGTCGGGGTACCCTAGTTTCAGACAAAAGCAATATGTTTGTGCAAGTTCCGAGATATCTCTGCATCTCCTTACGCCCATGGGCGCATGCTGGCAGCCAACCTTTAGCACGTCCTTCAGCTGATTCAGTGCTTAAGCGCAAATCAAATGCCAATTTTGACACAAACGTAGATCATGACGGGAAAAGCGCCGGAGTCTGTTTGAAACATCTTGTTCATGCCTTTCTGTTTCAAAGCTGATTCCTGACGGAGAGTACATTTGTTTGTCACAGATGTTTTTTCACCACAGCTTGTGCTGGGATGGAGCATTGTGTGAAAACCCTGGGAACATGCCAAAAAAACATGGTTGAGTATTTTTCCCCATGGCAATGATGGGGCATACACGCTTTTCAGACAACCATGTGAAGCAGCATTACACGGTTGCGTTGCAATGGCGCACTTGGAAGGGTGGGGATCCTAGCGCAGTGCCATGCGGTGCCCGGTTGAGATCCATGTGGTGGGTAAGTGGCTACTAACCAATTGAAAAACAACACTATACTTGAATCATCTTTAATCCGGTAAGATACTGTACGGTACGGAATATATGTATACATATATATATATATACATATGTATATACATATGTATATATACACTTATACACATATATATATATATATATACATATATATATATTTATATACATATGAATATCTACATATATATATGTATATTATATATGTATATACATATGTATAATACATATATATATATGTACATATGTATATATATATACATATGTATAATACATACATATATATATATCCCAAGTATTGTTGATTCACGGAATTGGACGATGGGACAATTAGCAGGAACGTTTGTATTTTCGGTTTGAAGTTTTCCTCAAATCATCTCAAATCGATCCATGGAAAGTCGTATACGTGTTGCTTACATCCATCATTCTCCATGGCTAAGTCATGTTCAATCCACATGTTTGATAGTCTATTAAATTTTAATTCAGTCATGTTAAACGCCTATTAACCCCCATGTAATTCCCATTGAAATCCCCATGAAATCTCCATGAAATCCCCACCTTTTCGTCCCACAGGACGTGGATCGTCATCGGTGGAGCCGACAAAGGCGGCATCCTGGTGCGCAAGTCTGAGGAGCTGCCGCTCGGCCGCTGGAAAAAGATGGTTAATCTATGGTCAATCTATGGTTAGTCTATGGTTAGTCTATGGTTAGTCTATGGTTAGTCTATGGTTAATCTATGATCAATAATGGTTATATTATTGGAAGAACAATATATCTGGTTGGTGGTTTGGAACATGAATTTTATGACTTTCCATATCTTGGGAATAAGGTGAACAACTGACGAAGTCATATTTTTCAGAGGGGTTCAAACCACCAACCAGAAATCATTGATATTTTTGGAAATCCGAATGAATATCATTGATATATGGAAAATGCATGAAAATGCTACTTTCATCATTTTCATGATCAAATAAATATAATTGAATACCCGGCCCATGAAAATATCCATTGGAGTTGCTTGAAGGCTGAAGATGATTTGTGTATATGTTTGGTATTTTCCCAATGGGACATCCACTACTTCGGGACTCTATAGGGAATATTTTTTTTGGGGGTCCTTAAGCAAATCCAAGATCAATATCCATTTTAGGGACGATTTGAAAGGAAGACTTCATGGATCACCAACGTATCATGTATCCAAAGTTTCTTTTTTGAATAGAAACCCAAAAAACTGCAGAACATATGTTAGAATTATGGTAGAGTTATATATTACTATGTTCGGATTAGATTTGACCAAGCTGTGCATTTTTTTGGAGGTTGCTTTTGAAATGGTGAGTGTGGGTTTGTATATTAACTTGTCTACTGTATACATGTGGTAAGAAAACATGGTGAGATTTGGTTAGGTAATGTTATGTTTGGTAATACGGTCAATAATATGTTTATACAAATATAGGCTAGATACGGTTCATGGTATGGTGTGTATAGAATTAAATCTTGATTATATTGGCCGACATAGGGTTGAATATAGGGTTTTAAAGGGTTTTAAAGGATTGTTCGACCATATAATTGCAAGCACATATAGGTTATACAGGGTAAAATCCAATTGATATATATATATATATATATTGAGCAACCGTAAAAACCCCGGCAATACTAAATATGTATTCGACGGACATTGGCTTATGGAAATTGATGGAAATTGTTAAAAACACGAGGTAAGCGATGGGACCTTCCCAAATTAGCGATACCCCTTTTCAAGGTTATGTCATCATATTTCTCTAATATCCACATTAGCGATACCCAAATATCACATATTATTCATAGTTCATCACATATATATATATATAAATGCAGCAGTTTCCTGCAAGCAATACCCCCCAAGTTTACCATATATCATTATTGTACAAACGTGTGGTAAGCGATGGGACCTTCCCAAATTTGTGGATGTCCTTTCCGTGAACCTAGGGTTTTCACAATCGCTCATATATTGATATTCGTTATGTGACTAGAAACCAAGCAATATAGATCAAAAAAGATGGTATGTTTTTTGTCGTTTCGATCAACCAATAGGGATCATCGAATCTCAACCAGGTCCTCGGAAGCCTTGGAGGAACGACTGGAATATGGCGCCCTTCTTCAGGCGAAGGGATGGAAGGGATGGAAGGGATGGAAGGGATGGAAGGGATGCTGATTTTTGGAGCAACTGGTGTCTATTGCCCATCCATGAAGTCTATTTAAAATTATTTAAGTCGTCACTTCATAGTCTAGTATTTAAGTTATTTAAGTATACATGGATACTATACTATAGCTTAATAGTCTAATATAGTCTAATTAATAATCTTTAAATATGCACCGTATAGACCATTTTTTTATGGAATGCATCCAGACTTGGACTAGTTTTGCTGTTCACTTGCTGCATGTGGCCTGCACGTGTGTCATTGCTTTTTCCATCCCAACTTCGAGCGGATTCCCAAGCCGCAGCATCTAGGAGGAGGAACTGAAGGGCAGCCGCTTACGATATCGAAAGATCTATGGCAAAGGTCCAGAGATCGGATGGATTAGCCACTTGCTTGAGGGATCCATTCATCCCAGGCTTCATCTGGCTTGGCAAGCAGTTTCCACCATTTAAGTGGATCCAAATGGGATTTTTTGTGTGGGATATTGTTCTTGGGTCCATGTGACTGAACAAATCACCAGAATGGCTTCATGACTCTGTCGATGAGGGGCCTTAATGCACCCTTTTGGGACCAGAATTGTCGTTTGTCGAGTCGTTGGTCGCCTCACATGGTGATGGCCAGATGTTTTTCTTCCTCCAATAATTCACAGAATTCCCTTGTGTTGTCCCGTCCGGTTCCCTAAAATCTACTGCTTCATCATCGTATTTCCAGAAATGGCCATAAATTGGGGGGTAAATCCTTTATTTACAAATCTTAAGTGGTTCTTTTTGGGTAAATCGTTGAATGCCATCCCTCTTGAAGCACCATTCAGCAAAAAGACATGAAACAACATGAAACCACCATTTGGATCCATTTGGTGGTTGGCATATGTTAGAACATTAATGTTCTCATTAACATGGCCATTGTAACCTCAAAAGAAGCAGACAAGTAACGAAAAATATCACTATTGTACTAAGTTTGTATGATTTTACACGTCCACCTTTTTGTTGCCAGTTGAAATAGCATTAGCAACAAGACTTACAAGAAAAAAAGCACAACATACAGCATGAACAACACATGATATGTCGCCTGAAACCTGCCGAAACTTGGTGTCTTCCCAGCATGTGTTGCGACTAAAGTGAGACTATTTCTGGAATCACTCGTTGTCCCATCAATCAAAATCACTCATTGTCCCATCAAAATCATTGTTTGTCCCGTCAAACATGACAAAATTTCATAAAATGTCCCCATGAGTTTCTCCGTTCCCATGGGAAATTTATGATGGCCGCCGAGGCACCAAAATCCACGGAAAGGAGCTGGTGACGCGGGTGATGCCTCCGCACCTGACACGACTCCAAGGTCTGCGGATCCCGATGTGGGGCAGATGGGGCACCAGCCCCATGGGTGTACCCATAATGGGGATAACATTGGTGTGTATATAATAAATAAATATATATTATATATACAATATAGTATATACAATATAATACAAATATGACTATATATCAGAAATTGATCAGTGTTTGATTCTTGCTGAAAACACATGAATCAAACATAATGAATCAGTATTTGACCAATAAACAATCGAGGGTTTGTCACCAACGAGCCAGACTCAGTGATCAAAAAAGCAAAATGTATTTGGGTTTGGACCATTTTGGACTGGACCCACAAATTCTTTGGGTGACCCGTCCCAATTTTCACCCAGGAACAACTCAAGGATATTCGGTCAGGTAACCAGTCAATATGAGGATACAAACACCAACAACATGAGTATCTGTCTTAGAAGCATCGACCGCACACATATTCAAAAGTTGAATGGATGGCTTGATAGCCTAATTTTTGTGAGCCATACAGTACAGTAGCCAGTAGTTGAATCAACGGTGGGTGATACTTAAAAAAAAAATGTGAAATTTCATGTTTCAAATGTGAGATACGTATGGCGAAGCGATCAACTTGAGTCGTTGGTGTTTTGTTTTGCATGTGGCATGTGGTTCTTCTTAAGCCACCACCGCAAATGACATCAATATTGGGTCAGGTTTGTTGATTCGCAGGTGGAAAAGGCGCTGGAATTTCGGTTGGTTGGAAAATGGTAAAAATCATCATTCCACTGATCAACAGTTGCGATGTTCAGGGGTATCATCTCAAGGTTGGTGAAAAATATTCCGTGTTTGCCATCCCAAAATTAGATATACCAAAAAATCTCATGATGAATGTCATCATACAATTTTCTAAAATCTCCCAGAAGTGTCCTGGTTAAAGATGCTTAAACGTCCCATGTTCTTTTTCCAGCCCCAGGCGCTCGCGGCCATCAGCTGCAACTGGGCGAGCCGGAGCTGACCTTCTACGCCATCAGCGATGTGCACGTGGAGCTGAAGGTGAAACATTCTCGGGCTGTGGAAATTTCGGATGGTTGCTACTTATTATTCTTGATCCCATGAACATTAGTATGATTATATATGATTATATATATTTGATTACATATGATTGTATATTTTTACATATGATTATATATTATTATTGTATTGTATTATATGTATTGTTGTTGTTCGTGTCACTAGTGCTACTATTGTCATTTCAGTGTTTTCTGGAGCGGGGCGTTGCGACCTTTTGAGGGTGGAGGGTTGGGGGACCTGAACTTCTCAGATTTGCAACATGTTTCCCCGCAAATGTGGAAAACTCTTCAGAAGTCTTCTTAAATTGGATGGTACTGTAGTAGTAGATGTGACTTTTATATCATATCAAGTCCGTAAAAACTATCACATTACATATCCCCATTGTCCACCCTTCTGTATTTCCATGATCGATCCCCTCCTTTTGTTGGTTCAATCAATGGCCATTTCAGGAACCTAAGTTGGAGTTACCTACCATATATAAGGTTATAAGGCCTATTTTTTAAATTTCAGGGGATATCCCCACAATTCATATGGCCAAAAAATATGGTACGTAGCTCCGTATCTCCATCTGTTGGATCCAGTTTCATTCTCATTGATTCAACCGTTGGTTTTTTTGTTTGGCCTGCAGCGACAGGAGAACATGCACTGGCTCAACAACTTGCCAAGCAGCTCGGCGGTTCGCCTCCGCCGCGGAACTGGCCTGTTGGTTGATGAAGGAGGGTTCCAAGCAAACATATGTGCAACCGTCAAAGCTCGCGGATACTAAGATATGTTTTGGCTGGACATTGGTTTTCAGAATTATGTTGCTGTCCTTTTCATGAACAAGGAGTTTTGACAGCCGCATATAAGGATATCGTACTTGATTAATTGGGTATTTAATGGAAAAAACTGAACATCAATACATTCTTACATTATGATTGATAGTTATTATTTTGTTTAAACCAGCACAACAATATGAGGATATGATGGATAAATTGTGATTGGCTATAGGGAAAAATCTGATTATACTGCCCAATGTACTGGGGACTCTCATTATTCATTCTTTATGGGCATCCCGTCCTGAATGGAATGACATTGCGGGTATTGAACAGTGCTCAATTGGTTTTTAATTATGTTCAACATATATATATATACATATATCTATATATATAATGTAAGTGTCGATATTCTATCGATTACTAGGATATTTACTATGGTTCTTAGCCACCTACTAATTATGCACCCTGTCCAGTCTTACAGGGATGAAGCTTCGGCGAAGACGCCCCCAGCGTTGCTTTTTTTGATACCGATGTTGGATGGCTGTTAGTGGTTATGATTCGCCCTAGCTGAGCCTCATGAGTAATGTGAGGCCCCCGGCCACGATAGCGTTCAGTTGGGGTTCACATAACTCCAATTTCACTATGGTTTATGGTACGCAAATAACGAACTAGTTACTGGGGCGTATAAACCAACAAACATAACTGGGGGGCCTCACATTGTAGAATACCTCAGAAATTCATAAATTCCGATGATTCCCACGCCTGGGAGTTGGCTGTGCTGAAGTCCCCCAAAAATAGACATCCCCTACTCGTCCTCATTGTATCTCCGTGCAACAATGCTGAAAGGTGGGCCCCATTAACTTATCCATTACTGGTTTGCGGTTTGGAACATAACTGACTAATATTTTTTTAAGAGGTGTTGAAACCACCAACCAGATTAACTATAGACATCTATAGACCTAGTGAACCCTAGTGAAGTAAGTTTGAAGTCAACCTGGCTATGGTTGGCCCATCCTGGCCGAGGCGTTCCAAACTCCTGCATCATCGTGGCTGGTGACCTTGGGGTAAGCCTCACACAGGCGAAGATGGCGACCAGCTGGGACCTTTTGGAGGGCACAAAACATCAAAAAACAACAACCCTTTCTGTAAGACCCTGGGAATATAGGAATATACCATGTAAGTATGAAGTAGCTACAATGCTACAACTAACTTTCATGGGAATATACCCGACGTTAAAGTTAAAGACAGAGAGGGGTCCGTTGTTGGTCATTGTTGGTTGGTTGAATCCTTGGTTGAATCCTCCATTTGTTGTTGCAGATCCTGTCTTAAGTCTATTCTCAATGCGTCCAGATGTCGGGAGCTCAAAGGTGAGACACGCTCTGCAAGTCTTCAAGCAGAAGTTCACATATGCACCTTGCCGAGTTTCAGAATTGCTTCGGTGGATGTCAGTGGATTGAATGGTTCAGACCACCCATAGAGATTGTGATTTTGGGGATGGTTTATGGCATTGGGTTTACCACATCACTGCGAAATGTGACGGGAAATCATGGCTTGGTTTTTACCACCTAATTACTTTGACATTTTCTTGTAAACGTTCCCTTCATCCAAGAGGATAACAACCTGGTGAGATTTGGATGTACTGCAGTTGTAGAGCCAGCAAGCTGGGTCAACCTGAACTATTAGGGACTAATTCTTAAGCTGCAAATGTGAAGATACTGTATATGATTGAAAAGAGTGTGTGCGTATATATATATATATTATATTCTATACAAACAGAACATTCAATGATTTCATAGCCTTTCTTGCGGTTTAATTGTAACTTCTATCGGCACAGCCAATTTTCAGACACAACCATATTTCATACCAGCTAGGAAAAGAATCCGCAGGCTGCTTTTCGAGATCTCTGACACTCAGTGTCATCTCAAAGTTGCGAAAGTCATCCAATTTTGGAGCAACAAAAAAACACTGATTGGTGGTTTGGAACATTTTTTGTTTTTCCCAATAGTTGGGATGATGATCCAATCTGATGAACTCATATTTTTCAGAACAGGTCCAAAAACGAGGGAGACCCCAGCAGGGCGATGTTGAGAACAGCGAAGATCCAATGTGTCCCAAATCTCTGGTCCTCATGGTGGCTGGCGATTCAAAGCGCTTAGATATGACCAGAATTGGCGTCGCTAAGAAGTGGGGGTAGCTTACACCTCAAAAGACTGGGATCTATTGGGATATATACATATGTATATATATATATATATAATGATATATATATATACATATATATATATGTATATATATATGTATATATATGTATATATATATATACATATATATATATATGTATACGGCAAGGCCCTATATTTATATATTATAATTATGCATGTATGTATTTATATACATATATATATATATATATCAGAGTTACGATCACCACTGAGCAAACTCTGGCAATGCCTGGACATACCTGGACCCTCCAAGTATCTTTAAAATCAAAATTCTAAAAGTACTCAAACTATGTGGTTTTCCGGACCCATTTTTAGTTTTTTTCACTAGAGAGCTCAGTCGATGTAACGATGAGGTGTTCTACTGCTATGGAAACCATGAGACCTGGTGTCACAAGAGCCTTGGCGATGAGGCCTGACCATCGACAATAAGATGGGGGTGTTGGGTGTTCCAGATCAACAAATCGCTATGGGGTGAAGTCTAGTACTGTAGTTTATGTATATATATATATATGCTGTATAATAATGTCATAAGACTGATAAAAGATATCATATACCAACAATTATGTTACTGTAGTCATTGTACAATATTTCTTGGGGAATGGACATCCGCCAGCTATTTTGCTGTGAAAACCTGCGGGATCCATTGATTTTTGACATCCCTTGACCCTTCCATCAGCTTCCAAGCATATATGTTTATGTTGACCAAAACCCTGGTTCAGGTATTCTTACCACCCCCCCAACAAAAAGTAGTATAGCAGGATAGGCAAAGCAGAAAAATGATGTGATGCGGCCGGCGCTCTCACAACGAGGTGATTTGGCCGAACTACACTGAAAACATTGAATTTTCCGTTCATGCGCCAACATTTCAGGATTTCTGTGGGATTTTCAGTGATTAACATGCAACAAAAATGGATTGATGATGATTTAGGTATGGTTGGTGATCCAAATTATGCATATATATATACACACTATTTGTATCACTATGTATATACATGTACCTCTACATGTCCAATTATATTCTCCAAACATGGGTAGTTGAACATGCTTGCTAAAAAACAACCAGAACTGACAGGACTACCGGCCTGTAGCCGATTCCTTCGACAAGTTGGAGCTGCTAAAAGACATTTGCATCCAAGAAGAGGTGTGAAACGGTGAAATCTGATGGTGAATGGTAGCTGAAGTATTGCTCTCCCAGATCAAATGGCAATATTTACCAACTTGTTTGAAGCTTCAGAAAATGGGGCAGATGGACAAACGTCCTTGGTGGCGTTTTTTTACTCGAAGAAATCAAGAGAACATGAATACTATAGACTATAGATATTTTATTTTTGGAAGGCCTTCACCATCGAATGCTCCCATATGAATATCTCTTCCCCGACTTGATCTCCATATGCGACTGTTCGCGTGTTGTGGATTTGTGTGGATTTGAATGTCCAGTCATTTTGGGACTGGTGGATCCTCAAATATTTGATACTGTGCTGAAGCCTGACGTTGACAAGCTGGTGACTATAGGTCCATTCATCAAACTTGCAGTGAGGGTTTCAAGAATACTAAACTAAACGAGTGTCGACAGTGCACAATGCTAAACAAGCTCCTTATCAAGTAGCAGCAATTAGACAATATTAGATTAGATAGTAGACTGAGACTGATAGTAAACTGATTGTGGTTGAAAAAAACATGACTTTTTTTGTTTGTTATTTTTGTTTTATTGGTTTGTCCATTGTCACTACCAAAAAAGCTGCCCATTGCTTGTCGTTCCTTGACCGTTGATCCCTTTTATCCGCCGTCGTTGACAGATCTTTATCTCTCCGCAGTTGTTGCACAATGTCTGGGTGGTGCCAGATGCTTGCCCTCCGTGGAGTTTTTGATTGGGAATGGGGGTGATACGTGGTGATACTGTACCTACGGGCTTCCTAAAATCATGTAGAATTGATGGTTCATTGCACAACACATACACATACTCTCAATGTATCTATATCATCATAAGATGTATCTAGATTAATTAATTATATTTATCATTTATAAATGTATATTTAATTACCAATACGCAGAGATAATATTATTGGACAAAATGTCATACCATTATCATTATCATTACCTTAATACCGTTAATATTATATACCAGTATAGATTCAATTTTATTGTACATAATGACATACTAGGTCGTACCACTATCATTATCATTACAATATATTATTGTATAACATTGATGGTAACCATTATCATTATCATTACCATATAATGTGTTAATATATGTATATTATCATTATATTATCATTACCCATGGTTATATGTATAACATTGTAAGGTTAATTACATTGATTTTTTTTTTAACCCATGGTATTAATTACATTGATGGTAACCATTGTATCATAGTATTGTTATACATATATTAGCACATTGATTCCTCCGAGGTGTTGGGCTGGTACCATCGATCTTGGGATACGGAGCCTCCACTCCAAGCACCACCGGGGCAGGACCGGAAACACGTGACGGTGACAACGGGACCACAACTGTGGGACCACAACGCTGGTCCGAAAAAAGCAACCGGAGGTCAAAATGGTCAAAGATCAGGTGAAAGATCAAAGATCATGACAATATATGGATGTTGTTTTTTTTGTTTGAAACAGAAACTTGAGACTTGAACATTTACTTGGATCCCAACGGCTTGAGTATGTTGAAACACTGGTCAATTTCATGAGCACTTGTGAAAATTCGAAGCTGTTCTGGGTGTCCAGAGCTCCAGCGTGCCGAGGGGCTACTCAATGTTGCAGCGGTTTTTGGAACTCGATCTGTTTTTTTTCCCTTCAATTTCCCCGTATACATATATATATAGATATAGATATTACCCAAACGTACTTGTAGTGATTGTTGCGACCCCCCAGTGAAATCTTTGTCGGTTGAGTTTCACCCCGTAGGTCCTTTCGATCTGTTTTCACCAACTCAGGAGCTACAACACCCTCCGCTGGGATCTCAGGACCTGAGGCGTATGGATCGAAAGGATCACCCCAACAATAGTGGTATTTTTCAGTTTTGGGAAACATGGGCAAACGATGGAATAAGCCAAGCATTTGGGCATTTGGATGTTTTTGGTGATTTTTTCACAAAACCTTGCGAATTGGGTTGGGGGAATTCATGGTTATAAGTAGCTTCTCAGAAAGGACTTGGATCCATATAGGGAATCGGTATTGGGTAAATTGTTCTACGAAAAACCTGGCGGAATCCTCCTGGATCAGAAATGGATGGCATTTTTCCTATTTGTATGATTTGATACGCATGGAAGGGATGACAAAAGTGCTCCCGAAAACTAGAAAGTTCAAGTACCGTGTGGGTGTGTCTGGAATTTGGGTACACCGCACAATTGCAAGTTAATATGATAACAATGATAATACCCCGGTAGATTTACAAGGTGTTTCCCAAAATTTTCACAGAAAACCATGTGTGGCCCCTGTGTTCGCCTGGTATCACAGCCTTGAGTGTGTTTTGTGGCGCCTCGTCAAAACATGAGGCTTCCTGGCGAGAAATTCGCGACCGATACCGGAGCATGCAACTTGGCGTTTACCAGTCGTCAAGGGTACCTTATAAGATTTCATGGTATTTCATGTGTATATATATACGTTGATATATATATATGAGTTGTTCCTGGAAAAAAGAAAAACAAATGATAAACGAGCGGATTTATACTTATAATATATATACATACAAATCACAGTTTTTTTCTCAACATTATCCAGTCAACCAACCAAAGCTCTGGGAACGAGGTGCACTGAAACGCTGTTCGCAATTGACGTATGTTATTTACTATGTATCGATTTGATTTATAGTATTTTCTTCATTTGACGATTTATTCATGTATCTAAAGTATGTCATTTATTTAAATTTATCTATTTGATTCTTTATTTCGATATCTACCCGAGATAATGCTCTCTAGTGACTAACAAGTGTTTCCATGATTTATTTTGCAATTCTGAGCCCTTCAGCTTTAGGCGTAAGGAAAAGTCGGCTGGAACTTCCACGGTTCAAATCCTATATCGTTGTTTGATTTGTTTGGAAGGTGTGTTTCAAATATCTAGAGATATCTAGAGGTTTTATTGAAGCATCATGGATTCATCGAGGTTTTATGGGAAATGATGTTCCCTGAATCTCTGAGAAATCACACTGCTTGGGTTCGATGACAATCTGCAAGGCAAATGGCGAGGCTTCGCCAATGCAAGCACGGAGCGGTTGGGTGGCAAAGGAGGATGGCTGAGAAATCTGTAGGAAACCACATGTCAATGGCCATTTCAGGTACCAATGCATTGGAGGTACCTACGTAGTATACCATATATAAGGCCTATGGGCCATATGGGCTAATTGAGGGAATATCCCCACAACATATGGCCTTATATGGTGCAGCAGCTTCATTTTAGGATCCTGAATTTCCCATTGAACCAAAGTGGTGGTGCTGATCATGATGATTAGGAGGTGGAGGTACATTCAGTTTCGAAGTTCAAAAACCTGTTTGCTGGTTGCAAATTGAACCATCCACATTTAACAGCCGTCCCACTGGTTGATGCCTAACCCAAGGCTAGGTCGACGAAGTGAGGGGATAGCCCATATGGTTGGTTTTCTATCGCTCGATTGGTAGTCTTTCAATGTGAAACATTGAGCATCTTCAGGCATAGGATCCATGGTGCTGCTATATATGGCAACATTTACCATCAATATACCCCAAATGTTAGCATATATATATATACCAGCACCATGGATCCTATGGGGCATTGTTTTTGAGCCATATTTCGTTATCTCATTCAAGTTGCTGACGATCTCTGAGGATGATACTATCCCGCGATTTCTTTGTTTCCCCTGGTCAAACTACTTTATACATCTTGATCAAGGACATATTTTGGCGACATTTGGTCAAACAAACGCAGGTTGACTAACATTTCAGGTGGTTGACGAACATTTCACTTGGTTGACGAACATTTCAGGTGTGTCAATACATGTGAATTCTATGATGTTTGGAACATGTTTTTTCCGTATAGTGGGAATAATCATCATCCCAACTGACGAACTCCATCATTTTTTTCAGAGGGGTGGCTCAACCACCAACCAGTATAATATATACCCTCTGGTAAACTAATATAACTATGGAAAATCATCATTTTTAATGGATAAATCACCTATTTCTATGGCCATTCTATGATTGCACCTGGCTCCAACCTCCAAGACCCGAGACCTCTAACTCCAGGAGCTGGCTGAAAGTCTGGATCAACAAAACCAGCGGACGCCTCAGCGGGCCCCGGGCCATGTTTCAAGGGGAAATCCCATGGGAAAATCCCATGGGTTTTGATCCATAACAACTCCATGTAAATTCTGCAACAACCATAGAATTGGGACTACAATGGAAAATCCCATGGGATAATCCCCATTGAATGTCCTATTTTGAAGCGGGTTTTCTGGCTACCAGCCAGAAAAGGAGTTGTATGGTTTACCATGGTTTACCATTCTATATAAAAACATGTGGATTGGGAGGATTACATGTGCAGTTGTCTCCAACATTCTGGGAAAACGAGATAATTGTAATTTTACCATTAAAGATACAGTAGTGGTTTAAAACCGTATATATATATACGTATATATAAAGCTGGTTACCCTCCAGCAGACAATAGCCGTATATAGCCGTGGTATGTGTGGGCAAAACATGGCGAACCTCACATTGTTGGTTTGCCCAAAAATGGTGTGGACAGAGAATCCAGTGGTTAATCAGCTTGCTCCCCATTAAATGGTTGTTTGGATGGAACGCGTGGATGAGGGTATTTAAGCAGGGTCAATGATACAAAGAAGCAATAAGCTGGAACTGGAAAATCTTGCACGTCTAATTACTGGGAATTGTTAATTGCCAGGTTAGAGTAGCACACTGGCACGACCTTGTCTGGGTACAACTTTACAAGAAGCTCACCATAGATCATGGTTAGTGGTGGGCAACCCATTCCCAGATGTAGGAACGTGGTAACTTCTGGAAAGAATCACCTAGATGAATCAAGATGGGTTTAGGATATTACTCCCTGATTTGCTGATCCTCGTCTTCGACTTCAAAGTGAGAAAGCCCTTGGGGGATTCCACATGACTTGCATGGCTTCAAAAAATGCTATTGATGTATGACCGCCGGAGCTGCACGGAAGGGTGTCTATTCCACAGTCAGGATCATCATTGATCATTGTTTGATATGTGTTATTCATTGTTGTTCTATCTTACTGTATGTTGCCTTATGTTGATCATTGTAGGTTTGATTTTGGTATCCACAATGGTAATGGGACGGCTGGAAACAGCCGTTTCAATATTAACTAGTTCTACAGGACTTTCATCTCACATTCCCAGAGTAAAAGCATCAACTTCCCAAAGCTGCCTTCATACAACATCCAGCGGATAAATAAAACAACCTCAGTTATTATAATCGTATGTATACTGTATACTGTATAATATTGTAATATATGATAAATAAATATATATATATATACATATTCTCTAGCGCCGCTTGCTGTTGGCCTGGGTCGGCAGATATTGATATGTTTATTGTTCGTTACACGTATTGTTTTCACATATAAGCATGTTAGTATAATTAGTTTGTTTAATGGAAGACACAAGTGCAACAAGATATGTTCACGAGTTGTGTTTTCCTTTGTGTAAATGTTGACATATCTTTCATTGTCATATATACATATGTTGATGTGTTCTCTTATGCATGACTAGAACGTTGGTATATATATAGAGAGAGATATACTTCGTCAAGTTTGGCCGACTCAATACCCAGTTGATTTGGAACTCCGGATCTATATGACATGATTTGAGTATATTCTTGATGTTTCTAGATATATTATGACATACTTATGGATCATTATTTGTTTCTCCCCTGAATTTCAATCTACCCTCTGGTAAACATACAAAAAACTATGGAACATCACCATTTTTAATAGGTAAATCCACTATTTCTATGGCCATTTTCAATAGCTATGTTAGTTTACCAGAGGGCACATCCATCCAAACATCATCATTACTGATTATTGTAATAACCATTCACTAGCCATTAACCACCATTAATAACCATTAATTTAATCATTAATAACAATCATCAAACCAATCTATATTGATGTAGGGTAAATCCCATTTTCATATCCCATTGAATTACTATAAAATCCCATTAAGTCACTATGAATCCCATTAAACCACTATAAATCACCATTGATGTATATGATGTATATCCCATTCATAATCCATTAAATCACTATAAAGTGCCATTAAACCACAATAAATCACCATTAAATTACCATAACATCAGCATATATTGTGCATAGAGACCATCCGGTTCACGAGTCGGACCACAAAATGGTGGCCGAGGCTTTGGGGCATTTGGCCGCTTCCTGTGGCGCTGGAGGCGTCGGTTGTTGTTTGCAAAACGCCGTTGGTTGTGGCAGCTGCGAGATTTGTTTGGACAATG